CATGTGTTGATTTAGTTATTGCTTCATGTGTTCTCTAGCTGTCTTCTCAGCGCGAGTGTCACGAGCTGTGGGCATGTCGGGCGCGGGGGCCCGGCAGGATCTTGTAATATAGGGATCCTTAAAAATTAGAATAGGGTTTTGGGGTCCGGTCTACTATACTCATAATCAGGAACCCAGAATAGTACTGGTAATTATTAAGGCCCCTATATTATTTGAGGGTCTCGGCCAGGGGCTTCCTCGAGGGTATGACGAAGCTATCCACCAAGGACCCCATGCTGTCCCTTGAGCTTGGGATTGAGAGCTTGAAGCGCAGTCGTGACCTCTTTGTTCCAACGCTTTCCTTGAGGTTTTGCCCCGACTGTCAAAACCCAAGTACCATCTTGGATAACTGCAAACCCTAAACCCTGAACACTCAATATGGTCTTGGGGACCTAGCGGACCCATGTATTTGGATCAGACCTGGGCAGTAAGCGTTTCGGGCTTAGGGCTTTAAGTTAAACACGTATTCCCGAAGGTTCAAGCAAGTCGTCTGTATGGTCTTTGGACTCAAAGTCCTGTAGTGAGGAGTACTTGGGCCCTGAGGGATTTCGCACAAAGACGAGAAGATATTTGCACTGCATAGATTATCTTGGAACTCATGAACACGAACGTTGAAAACTCAAGTTCCCGTGCCAGCCGCCGCGACTCACATCCTACAACAAGCAACCTCCCAAGTGATACCAAGATCCAAGCCAACTCTGCTCTAATCTCGGCCTTGCTTTGTCGCTTGAAGACGACTGTCCACCTGCAGAGGCACCAAAGCACATGAGACCCTTCAATAGATGACCGGAGCTTTACCCGCCAGTCTTTGCTGCAGCCGCGGACATGGAGGATTTGATGGGGCTGCGGGCTAGCAAAAGATGGTATCAGTTCTTGGAAACATTGGCGTTTAGGGTTTCGGGTTTAGGGTTATGTTAAAACACAATATGAAATGCTTGCCATGCATCAGCAGCAAGGAACAATAATACAGCGGTGAGTGAACTCATTCTTTGATCCGAGCGACCGAAATCTTGAACCCAAGCAAGACTTACGCTGCCTGAAAGCCAACTCCAAGGGACCCAAGAGCATACTCTAAGTAGTCATTCAGACTCCAAAGTCAAGCCCCAAACCCTCAATCCAAGAATCCGGAACATCCCCTACAACGGTGCTCCCCCCAAAACCCTGAACCCTAAACCATACACCCCTAAACCCTGAACCCTGATCTCCTCAGAGAAGAAAAGCCTCCAAGCCGAGTGTGGAGCTGTTGCTGTAGGAGCCTCCCAATCGTTCGGGGTGGATTAGCGGTGTCCGAGGTCATTGGTTTTGGGAGTTAGGATTAGGGGGAACCTCGGGGATATAGTCCCTCTCAAGAAGGTCCCTGTTAAGAGAGCCAGAAGTAGGGTTCAGAAGGGTCCCCTTTTTGGGGTCTCCTTAATTCTAGCTAGGAGGTTTAGGGTTTATAGGGGTTTAGGGGCTCAGGGTATCGGGTTTAGGGGGCGAGGGGCTTGGGAGTTGTTTTGCCTGGAGTTTAGTTTCCACGAACCATTTTTAGAAGAGATTTCCCTAGGCATCCAGCGATTTGCTATTGTTAGCATTATGACCAATATGACTATTGTTATGATTTTCATCGTAGTGTATTCTTATTATTCGTATTATTATGATTGCTGTTGTGAACTCCTTATTAACTTATGATTATGAATACTTCCCAGACATCCCGAATTCGCGGAACCAACTAGTCACTCCGCGTATCGTCTAGAGGTTTAACCAGAAACTAATCCTGCACCCACGCGCTTCTCCTCCTCCTCCCTGCTCTAAGCCCCAAGACGCGATACCAACATTTCAGACTAATCTGGGGATAGGGGCCCAAGGAATTCGGGGAGTTAGGTTTAGCTGCCGGGCTTGAGGTTTACAGAAATGACCAGGGCTCAGGGCCCTTGCGGTGTCTCTTGGGTTCCTTGCTTAGTCGCGGCCATCCGAGCCTTTGTCCTTCCTGCTGGGCTGTGTCCTGGCCGGCGCCGAGTAGGTTTAGGGTTTAGGGTTTAGGGGTTTAAGGTTTAGGGATGCACAGCAACTGTCGGGAACGACCTGGATGGCTCTGTCTTAAGAATCCAGCCAGGAGGCTTCCTGCATGCACACATACATGCGGGCAGACCTGTACGAATATGGGTCCTATAACCATCATCAGCAGCAGCAGTACAGTAGTCGTCGTAGTACAGTAACGGTCCTCGTTGTGGTGGTGGTGGTAGTGGTAGTGGTAGCGGTAGTCTCGTGGTGGTGGTGGTGGTGGTGGTGGTGGTGGTGGTGGTGGTGCGATCATAAAATAGAGGAAGAAATCCTGAACCAATCTACAACTATGTTTTAATTAGCACGAATCAAAGGCAACAATGAAATTCACAGTTTGACGGTTGTAGAAGGAGACATCCCCGCCCAAGGCCTAATCCACCGTAGGGCATTATCCTTCAAGCCCAGAAGCTCAACTTAGATCCCCCAAGCACACCTCGATCATAGTAGAATGGACCCCCAAAACCCTATTCTATTTATTAAGGCCCCTATATCATAGAATCCTTATAGTTCAACACGTTCACCTGCCAGGGCCTTCATAGATCCCGCGCCGAAGCCCTGAACATCTTCAGCTCTAAACTCCGCAACACCAGCTAAAGCAACAAAAAACACATGGATAGTTTTCTAAATGAGGATCCCTTTTAGGGTCCTTTTTATAAGGGTGCCGTACTATATTGGGGACCTAAAAAGGGACCCTAATTTAGAGAACTACCCACATACATGAACTAAACGAACCTGAAAGACAACAAGACAATCATATAATCAGATGACAACTTATTGATGATCAACCTGCTACAGCGGCATCGAATTATTCATGTTTTTGCCTTTGAGACCTTCGCGCAGAAGGGGCAAAAGGCTGTGGTGGCTTCCCGTGCTCTGGCAGAACTCTCTTAGAGGATCCTTCCTATCGGTGCCTACGGGTCCATATACCCTATATAAGGGTTAAACAGAACCACCCAATTAGGCACTTCCTAAACTGTTTTCAGCCTTCGGCTCAAAGCCACAATCCTGTGATCTCGGGTTTAGGGTTTTGGGGGTTTAGGGTTTGGGAGTTGAGGGTGTGGGGTTTAGGGGTTTAGGTAGAAGCCCGCAACCCTGGGGTTTAGGGTTTCGGGTTTAAGGGACTGTTATGGAAGCCTCTATTTGCAGACCGATTCTTGACGATGAAGCCCTTGGTAAAAACAACAGACGCCTTGTACAACCCGCCCATCTCTCTACGTCTCCTTGGGCCTCCGAGCTTACCCTACATCCCGTACCCCCTTCAAGCGAAATATATAGGGGCCTTCATATTTCGAATAGGGGTCTGTGGTATCTGCTACTATAAATATAACAGCCCGGAGGAAACGGGAAGCCCCCACTGGCCCCATGGCCCTCTCAGCTCTACAGCAAGAACCAAGGGCCCCAAGCGGACCCTGTCGAATTCGAGCTCCTGAAATCTGGACTTGGGCTGAGGGTTGAGTCTTGAGGGTTTAGGGTTTAGGTCTTATGCTCGGTTTCAGGGAATCCCTGACGGACTGACGAACACGGTTTAGGGTTTACGGTTGAGGATGTAGAGACGAACAAACAGGCTCACTAACCGACTCCCTCAGTGACCAGCAAGCCAACTAGCTAGCTGCCTGAGCAGAACATTACCAAATCAGCCAGCTACCTGACTGACTGACCGACAGACCGACTGACTCACCAACTAAATCGAATCAACTAACCAAGTAACCAACATCAACTAACCAACGAACTACCTACCGAACTACCTACTTAACTAAAGAAGCCATTTGCCTATCTAGCATGCAAGACCTCGGCTGTTAAAAGTTGCCAAGGTGGCAGATCCACTGAGGATCTGAATGTGAAATGCGCGACACTCAGAAAAATCAAGGGCTTTTCGGGTTGTAAGGTTTCGCGGAGGGTTTGGGGGCTGTTAGTAAAGACTTTTGCTTGCAAAGCCGACCCGTGAACTCTGAAAACCCAACCCCGATATGCTACTCTGACAACAAGTAGCCTGGCAAATGTAAGACTACATTTTGTAGTCAGGAGCCTGGAGAAACCCTAAATCCAAAACCTTGAAAGTATTCTCCTGTGCATGCCTGCCTTACAGCACTTCTACGAACTGAGACGAGCCCTTTGGACGCTACATCCCGTGACCCTTTCGGGCCTAATATAGGAGCCTCATATTAATTAGAATAGGGGTTTGGAGTATAGCATACGGTAGACTGAACATAATATACGAGAACTACTTGAAGGATCATGGGACTTACTAACTGAGGTTATAAACAAGGTAACTATACCTATAACCCCAATTAGGGTACTTATAACCCTACTTACTACGTCTCAAGATCCTCTAAGTATATGATAAGAAACCCCAAACCTTCTTTGGTAATTGCTAGGTCCCTATGTTGGAAAGGCCTCGTCTTGCAGGATTTCTGACACAACTTTGACGGCCAAGGGCCCTTCGTCTCCCGAAGCCGACCATAACACAGCTTTTCAATAAGGGCCCTAAGGCGTCTGCGCGGAATCTCACGGCTACGGCTAATATAGAGTTTAGGGTTTAGGGATTTAGGGTGTTAGCAAACCCAGAAAGTTGGAAACCAGATTAAGGACGGTCAGTGCTGGGATTCCGTATATATTATCAGTCTCAAGTACTCTTATTATGCTATTCTTGACACTAATCATAGAACCCCAAGATTATTGTGCTTTCTTGTCATGAATTATAGAACACTAAGTAGCTATTCTGGTTGTTGGTTGTGGCTCCTCGAAACCTGCACTATGGCTCGTAACACACAAAACGTAGACGACTTGCCCTTGAAGAGTCCCGTATATCCGCTCAACAAGGATCTGAATTTTGGATCTCCGACGGCTTGGGGTTTGCAGCGGGTCGAATGTGCCTCAAACTCCACATTCTGAGGCGTCAGGCGGCACCGGAAAAGCCCTTAAACATGCAAAACCAAGGTCTTCGAAGTCTCGGATGTCACCGTCCGCCGCAGGGCCAGAGCTGTCAGGATCTCAGCGTAGCTCCAGGTCAGGTCCTGTCTCCGTGTAGGGTTTAGGATTTAGGGTTTCATAAAACACCAAAGCCTGGGTATGACGAGCACATCTGCTCGACTGCTAAATGCTTATATTGCCCTACGGGTCCAAAATGCCCACATGGTAAGGCTTTAAGTACCAAGAGCAATTCTGAGGGTAGCATTTGTGGATCTTGATCTCAAATCCTACTTGCTGGGTGTTTGGACCTCGAGGTTATATCCTGGAAGTCGGGTCTCGGGCTCGAAAGGCCTTGGCATTGTACTGCTTCCCGGTGTTCCGGTCGATCTGCTCGTAGACGTGCATACCATCCTGCATGGGCGCCGTCAACTGCATGCTCTCCAATGCCCCAAACTCATAGCCTTCAGCCAAGAGCATCTGTTTCTAGATGAATGTATGCAAGCATGTATGCCTGCATGTGTGTATGTAAGAATGTTACATGTGGGTATGCAATAGGTCGGTATGCACTCATGTATGTAACAGTAAGTAGTATCTATTATGTATGTATGCCTGCATGCATGCATGCATGTACCAGTGTATGGGGATATACCAGTGTTTTTACAATGACGTCAGAACAAATCCCATATCAACCATGTGGGTAGTTGTCAAAATTATGGTCCCTTTTGGGGTACCCTAAATAATAGGTGCCGTATTATAATAAGGACCCAAAAAGGGACCATAATTTTGACAACCACCCATGTAGAAAAGCCAGACCATCTGCCGGAATCACAGCACCTCATCACTGATGTGCTTGCGGATGCGAGTCAGTATGGAGTCTCCTGCGTCCAGGGAAGCGGGCGACACAAACAACCGCCTGAAGACCCAAACTCGAAAGGCTGAGTCATAAGGTCGTAAACCCAAACCCTAAACCACAAAACCCTAGACCCAAACCCCAAACTCAAAGCCTAAACCACAAAATCCTAAATCAAACCCTGAACCCTGGCGCAAAACACTCAAGACCACGGCTTCGAAACTTATTTCTTGGGGCTATGCCATCAGGGTTTAGGGGTAAGGGCTGGTAGATCGAACCAGCGCTTGCGGACTTGCTGCGGGCTCGGGGCCTTGAACGCTTCGGGGTCCTTTCGATGGCTTTGCACCTCTTCTTAGGGGTAACACAGAAGGCTAAGTAGTTACCAATATTATGCCTTAGGGTTCCGTACTATAAGTGCATTATAAAGGAGCCCAAAACCCTGTTCCAATGATTAAGGCCCCTACATTCGCATTTGCTATCTGACTTGATAGGTTTAGTTTTACAGGCTCTGCTCTCGATTACGTTTTCCAACTAACACCGCTTGATCTGACTGCCCTGCTGCCGATTTCAAAAGTAGAAACCTCCTCACAGTTAGGGGCATGGTTTTGGGTCTCGGAAACTTGCTTTCCACTGGGTTAGGTTTGTGGGGGCTTTGTATGGTACGCACTTGCGCCAGCAGAGAATTCTCCCACACAGGAAAAGTTCAGGCACAAGTATGCGTTGTGCCGATTCAAGCAGGTGTTTGGTATGGGAGCACAGGATTGGAGGTTTGTGCTCATGCCTATACCCACGGAGAAGGCTTGATATGGGCAACTCTCTAAATTAGCAGGGTCCCGTTTAAGGTCCTTTTCGGTCCTTTTTATACGGGTGCTTTACCATTTGGGGGACCAGGAAAGGGACCCTGCTGTAGAAAACTGCCCATATGCTTGCACTAGGCATCTCAGGAGTTCGATCATCTTCCACGGTTCTTGTTTCGCGTCTTGGGGTTCGAATCACAGGGCTGCCCTTGGTTTGGGTGATTTTTATTCAATGAAGTATGTCCTCGTACCCAACGAACCGAAGCTGCAAAAAAAAACACCAACCAACACCAGCTTTGAATTGCCCAAGAAACTGCACGAACGGCACATTCGATAGCTCCGGTGAAGCCACAATGGCTGCACTGCACGAGGTGGATTACATTAAAGACAAGCGACTCCTCGTAGCCGGAACCCTGAACCCGACAAACCGAAGAAGCGCTCCTGCAGCGACAAAGTCGCTAACAGATCCCGTGAAAGTGTAAGAGTCGGCATTGAGTGCCGCCTGGATAGATGTTGCCCATACCAGTAGAGCAGCCAAGATAGATCAAACTCCACACTTGTGCAGTCTCAATCCGGGACTACTCCCTCCATGAGGCCGTTTCGGGCTTGATGCTTGGGTGGTATAAGTTTTGGGGTCTCGCTCAGCCAGCTCGAGATGTGGGTTGAATGACAATCACGAACCCTTCGTTCACAACTACTGCAAAAGCCCAAAGCCCCCGGATGTCGAGAAACCCGAAGCCATTGATTCGTGCAAACAACTCGGCAAACCCGAAGATGCAAACTATTCAAGACCACATGGGAGTTTCAGAAAATAGGGGACCCTGATATAGGACCCTAAATAGTAGGATCCTTATTGTATAAGGACCCCAAAATAAGGTACCCCATATTTTCGGAAACTACCACATGTTATTGAAAGCTTCAAGGCCCAGGCCTGGCAAGGTTGCAGGAAATCTTGACCCCCCCCACACACACACACACAGAAAAAAAGGCTCCACTTTCGGGCTGCGGTGGGGCTAATAGGTCTTAAGGCCTAGGGCTGCGGGTATGTGCCTCAAACTGGAACCTGGCTCCGACACGGATCTGAGACCTAAACCCCAGCTGTAGCCGAATAAACTTACCGCTTTGGGATTCCTTATTATGGTTTCCATATGTCAGTCCTTGTAAAGGTAGGTTTCTCGAGTTACAGGTACGGAGGTGCTCGATGATCTTCGCAAATTGCATAATCTAGGGCCTAAATGATTAAAATCAGAATAGAGCCTTGGGGTACACTATTCACTATAGTATAAGTATTCTAGGGACGCTGTCAAGGCTAGTGCTGGTGAGTACTCAGGCTTCTACATTCTACTTCAAAAAGAAAACAAATTTGGATTCTTCATGCACCAAAGGAAACTTGTCGAATACCGTGGTTTACACCGCTTACGGTATGGGGTTTATGGTGCAGGCCTGAGTGTTTGAATGTTAAGGTTTCCATAATACAAAACTAGATGATATACGGTTAAGGGTTCCGGGGGGTTAAGAGCTTTGGATCCACATCATAAGCCTAGATGATGTTCAAGTACACTCAGCGTCATCTACCTTGCTCCCACGTCTCCGAAACCTAGAGAATGCCAAACGATGAATCCCGAAGACCCTACTTACACCCGAAAATCGTAAACTTCTGCGCCATCCTACGCCCTAGGATAAGAACAGGGGTCCTGAGATTTTAGGGATGCCAATGCCCTAGGACAAAGGGGTGTTGCTAGCAGTTACGTTGCGAAACTGAAACCCAAGTCCCAAATCCAAAAGCTACATCCGAAATCTTAATTCCCGTGCCTCAAGTCCGAATCCCTAAAATCCTCTTCCCGCGCGACACTGGCCTGCCAGGCTCGCAACTCCTGTAAGATGATGGTTCAAGGTTGGAAGCTCTTGCACGTACAGGTCCAAGTTCGGAATACACATATATTCACCAATAAAACTAAACTGAATAAACCCATAGCTTAATTTTGGACCAGGAGGGTAAGCTTCAGTGGTTGTGGGTGATGTAAACAGTTTTGGGTGTAATCGTGCGAGAAGATCGTAAGGAATCAAGGTGACGGTGTGGGGAAAACTCGCACTTGCTGCTGCGAGTGATGGCAGCTATCTGGTGCAATCGCGTGCTCTTTTCGTGCATGACGGCGTGGTGGTTTGTTGATTCAATCTTTTCAGTGCTTGATCGGGTCTGGGTTGAAGGCCCCGTGTTTCACCTTCTTCGTCAATCAGCTCGAATCATGAGCATCATTACAGCATCATTGTTTCACATTCCATAAAACACACGAGCAAAAAACAAAACACCTAAAGTCTGAACAATCCACTCTCTGAACACCGAACCCTTTCCGGCATTCCACTCACTTTCATGCAAGACACGGAGACAGTTCTAGATCCAACTCGAACCGGTTCAGGAACTTAAAATCTAAAGCCCGTGTAGCTCAACTCGCTGATCTGCATCTTGGGATCTCCGGTCTGAAATACCTTCGACTACTGAATTACTTTAGCTCCGCAGTGTCGTCATGTAGATTTCAAAGCACACCCTCCGAATTGAAGCAGGATATGTTTTCTCAATCGGAGCTACTGTAGGCATGTTGAGTGCTGGAGCATTAGTTAGGCACTCGTACCGTCTATCCTCCATCGTCCTGATAAGATTTTAAAGTACCTCTGAAAGTCAATACAAGGGTGGTAACTTTGGATCTGGCTCTGCCATAGGATTAGTTGGCGTTAGTCATGGACGTCCGTACCGGCAAAGCCAATATCGGAAACTTTATGTTGGATGTAGGTACAGTGCGAATTTCGGATTTGCGGGCTTGATCGTGCGTTCGTTATGAACAACTACAAAACAGGTACTCGGGAAGGAACAAAGACTCAGACCCCCAGAACAGTTCTTGTTGATTTCGATTCGGCGATTAATCGTAACCTTGTGTGCTTCTCCCCGATGCTATACGCTGTCTTCGCAAATCGCGGAAGCAGTGGTCAAGATATTGTAACATGGGGATACACGCTGCGCATCAAATGTCCCTTTGTGTTTGGTCTTCGTTTTTTAGTCTTCGTTTTTTAAAATCAGGGCCATGATATCGGTTCAGGGCCGGGCTTATTGTTAGAGCTCAGATGATTAATCCTCTAAGTGGGTCCCTTCTAAGCCTTCTCTTGGGTTCCTGCAACGGAACCTCATTTAGAGACCTGTCTATACGATTTATGGTTTAGGGCCGTTTGTGGTATAGGGATGCGAGCGCGAAGTCTGGAGTGTCAGGCTCAAGGTGTTTCGGTTTAGGGTTTAAGAATAGGGTGAGTGACACCCTACACCCTCAACCCTAGACTCAAAATCCTGGCGGAGTCAACTTTCGCACAGCGTTGCAACAAGCGGCGCGGACCTTAAGCCCTGAACCCCAAACTCTAGACCCTAAGCAACAGACCCTATATTGATCCTAAACCCTCAACCCTAGCATGAATCGAGACCAAGAGACCAAGCACCAATCATTGACATGAATCCAAACCTGAATTCCAGCTGAAATCAACCCATACAGTCGTCTGTTTTCACACTGATATTGCAGAAACTACATGGGCCCTGTAGGTTCTGCTAGTGTATCACCCCAACCAGCCCGAAATTTTCAACACGAAGCCCCAAAACCGCTAACCCGCGCACCGCCTGAACCCAAAGCCCCTCAACCCTAAGATTGACCGCCAAACCTCTAAACATAAGATAACACGAACTAAGCTTCAAACTTTGATGCACTGCAGCCTTCTAACGCCCCACAAAATTTGATACCCTGCATTTTCCATCTGTAAAGCACAAAAAACCGATCAAAAACCAACGTAGCGGATCAATAAAACAAGATAAAAAAGGAGCAACAAACAAATAGCCAGGCCCTTGTTGCAACAATAAAAATCACAAAACATATAGTACAGTAATAATAGTACTGGTTGTAGTGTGCCCGGAATTTAGAACACTTCTTTGAGCAAGATTGCCAAGCAATCTTGCAACCTTTTCTCGCCGACTAGTTTACCTTCTGGACAGACCGAGTGCCGACTCGTTTACCTTTCCGTCCAAGATTGCAATGGGGGGGGAGCAAGATTGCGAAGCAATCTTGCATTCTTGGTCTCCAAAAAGTAAACTAGGCGAGCAAGTGGGGCAAGTGGGGGGAGCAAGATTGCCAGCAATCAACTTTGGTCTTCAAGAGGTGAACTAGTCGGCGAGCAAGTGGGGCAAGTACGGGAAGATCACCAAGATTGCTTGGCAATCGTGCCCCACCCTGACCAAGATTGCCAAGACTACCACCATGGTTCCATCAAATAGTTGTTCTAAATTCCCGGCACAATGTAAGAGTAGTAATAGTAAAAAAAGGATTGGTAGCGCTAGTGACGTTAGTAATAATGATAATAATGGTACTCATCGAAATAATCGCAATATTCGAAAACATGATAACAGCATTCAGCGTTGTCAGCATCACCTTCATCATCATCATTACCATCGTCATCATTATCATCATCATCAATATCATCAATATCATCAGCATCCTCATCATCATCATCACCATCATCGTACTTAGTAGTAATATGTTTGCATCCGGTAAATTTGTTGCTGAGCCTTTTCTCATTGTCTTACCGCTCCTTATTCATTTTTTGTCCCTGCATACCCCTGCAAAGTACACAGCCCGTATTGAAGCTTGAAAGACCCCTCAAAAGACCCTTTCAAGCCCTTCAAGCGCTTCGCTGAGTTCCGCAAACCCTAAACCCCGCGATGCAACCACCTGAACCCTCAACCCTGAATCAGCGCTGCAACCTTCCAAACCATGAAAGGAAGTGCAGGTAGTTTAGGGTTTGGATATACGATTTAGGGTTAGAGTGTAGGGTTTAGGATATAGAGCTTCGTATTTTCGGGTTTAGGCTTTAGGTCCTGTGCGTTCAATGACCGTCCAGAGTCCACCTCGATCGCAGCCTGAACAGGTCTTTCAGCAGACTAGCACTTGCTTCGTACAGTACATCCCAGGAATAGGGCTACACTTACATGTTTGGTGATATCTACCATGACGCAACCACCCGATCTACATATACATATATATATATACACATATATATATATATATATACCCGATCTACATATACATATATATATAAGGGGTAGGCAACACAACTAAGATA